ACTCCTAATAGACAAAATGATCTTGGAAAAACTGCAAGAGAAGGAAGACCAACCTGAATGTGGCATGGATTGACTACAAAAAGGCATTTGACTCTCTGCCACATGATTGGATAATAAAGTGCCTAGAAATAACAGGAGTCAGTAGAAACATAGAAAATTTGTGCAAAGATCGATGGCACAATGGAAGACACAGTTGCAGATCAATGGTGAGAGGCTGGGAGAGGTTAATATCAAGAGAGGAATATTTCAAGGAGATTCATTGTCACCATTACTATTTGTTATTGCACTGTTTCCTCTGTCAACAATACTGAATAACTCAGGACATGGCTATCAAACATCACAAACATCTGCCAGACTATCCCACCTCCTTTATATGGATGATCTGAAGCTGTATGGAAAAACATCATCTGAAATAGAATCGCTGCTCAACACTGTCCGTATATATAGCCAAGATATTGTAATGGAGTTTGGCTTGGACAAATGTGCCACACTTACTATCAAACAAGGAAAAATAATGAAAACTGAAGGAATCAAGATGCCCCACGAAAATAACATTAAGAGTCTGGATGAGGAAGACTACTACAAATACTTGGGTATCCTTCAAGCTGACAACATCAAGCACACTGAAGTCAAGAAAAAGATTAGAGGTGAATACATCAAGAGAGTGAAGAAGATCTTAAAATCCAAACTCAATGGAGGAAATACCATAAAGGCAATCAACACCTGGGCAATCCCAGTCATTAGGTACACAGCTGGAATAGTGGACTGGACTCAAGCAGAACTAAAAGCAATGGATAGGAAGACCAGAAAAATAATGACAATGAATCATGCCCTTCATCCACGCAGTGACATTGACAGACTTTATCTACCAAGGCAAATAGGTGGGCGTGGAATGCTACAAGTACATCAGATGGTTGAAGAAGAAAAAATGGCTTTGGAAGAATATCTGAAGAACAATGATGAAGATGCACTGAAATTAATATATCAGGAAGGCTTACTGACTACTGGAGAGACCAAACTGGCCTACAAGAAAGACCAAATGAAGAACAGAATAGAGGCATGGGAAGACAAAGCACTACATGGCCAATACATGAAAAAAATAGCTGGGAAAGCAGATAATAATAAAACCTGGCAATGGCTAAGAGCAGGAAAATTGAAGAAAGAGACCGAGGGACTAATTCTGGCTGCACAAGACCAAGCCTTAAGGACAAATGCATACAAAGTCAAAATTGAGAAGACAGCAACAGACAGTAAGTGCCGCCTATGCAAAGAAGCTGAAGAAACAGTGGACCACTTGGTAAGCTGTTGCAAGAAGATTGCACAAACTGATTACAAGCAGCGGCATGACAAAGTAGCAACAATGGTGCATTGGAAGATCTGCAAAAAATATCATTTGCCTGTAAGCAAAAACTGGTGGGATCATAAAATAGAGAAAGTCATAGAAAATGATAAAATTAAACTGCTCTGGGACTTCAGAATTCAAACAGACAAGCACCTGCAACATAACACCCCAGACTTAACAATTGTCGATAAGAAAGACAAAAAAGTCTGGATAGTGGACGTGGCAGTGCCTGGAGATAGCAGAATAGAAGAGAAAGAACTGGAGAAGATAACAAAATACAAAGACCTACAAATAGAAATAGAAAGACTGTGGCAAAAGCAAGCAAGGGTAGTACCAATAGTCAGAGGCTCCTTGGGTGCAATCCCAAAACAACTGGAACACCACTTGAACACCATTGGCATTGACAAATTCGCTATTAGTCAATTGCAAAAAGCAGCCTTATTAGGAACTGCTTCCATCCTGCGACGATATCTGTAATACCATCAAACATCCACATCTGCCTATCCCAGGTCCTGGGTAACGACTCGATAGGTAGACAAAATGCCAAATCCAGTCTGAACATCTGGCTGACTGTGCGATGATCGATAATAATAATAATGTTGGAAGGGACCTTGGAGGTCATCTAGTCCAGCCCCCTACTCAGGCAGGAAACCCTATACCATTTTAGACAAATGGCTGTCCAGTCTCTTCTTAAAAACTTCCAGTGTTGGAGCATTTACTGCTTCTGGAGGCAGGTTGTTCTACTGGTTAATTGTTCTCACTGTCAGGAAATTTCTCCTTAGTTCTGGGTTGTTTCTCTCCTTGATTAGTTTCCATCCGTTGCTTCTTTTCCTGTCTTCAGGCACCTTGAAAAATAGTTGACTCCCTCTTCTTTGTTGGAATACTGCTATCTTGTCCCCCCTCGTCCTTCTCTTCATTAAACTAGACATACCCAATTCCAGCAGCCTTTCCTTACATGCTTTAGCCTCCAGTCCCCTAATCATCTTTGTTGCTCTTCTCTGTACTCTTTCTAGAGTCTCAACATCTTTTTTACATCACAGTGAACAAAACTGGATGCAGTATTCCAAGTGTGGCCTTACCAAGGCATTGTAAAGTGGTATTAATACTTCACGTGATCTTGATTCTACCCCTCTGTTAATGCAACCCAGCACTGTGTTGGCCTTTTTGGCAGCTGCAGCACACGGCTGGCTCCTATTTAAGGGATTGTCCACTAGGATTCCAAGGTCCCTCTCACAGTTACTACTATTGAGTAAGGAACCACCTATATTATACCTGTACATTTGGTTTTTCTTGTCTAAATATAGAACCTTACTTTTTTCACCATTTATTTCATTTTGTTAGATAGTGCCCAGTGTTCAGGTCTGTTCAGATCCTCCTGTATCCTAAGCCTGTCTTCTGGAGTGTTGGCTATTCCTGCCAGCTTGGCGTCGTCTGCAAATTTGATGAGTTCCCCATCTATCCCCTTGTCCAAATCGTTGATAAAGATGTTGAAGAGCATTGGGCCCAGAACAGAGCCCTGGGGCACCCCACTATACACTTCCCTCCATGTAGATGTGGTTCCATTGAGGACCACATGCTGAGTACAGCCGGTCAGCCAGCTACAGATCCATCTGGTGGTGATTCTGTCTAACCCACATTTTTCTATCTTATTAAGTAGTAGGTTGTGATCTACTTTATCAAATGCCTTACTGAAGTCCAGTAAATTATATCCACAGCATTCCTCTGATCCACTAATTTTGTCACTTGGTCAAAGGATGCAATAAGATTTGTCTGGCGTGATCTGTTTTTGACAAACCCATGTTGGCTTTTAGTAATGACTTTGGTTGCCTCTAGGAGTTCACTGATTCGTTGTTTGATTATGTTTTCCAGAATCTTCCCAGGTATTGAGGTCAGGCTGATAGGTCTATAATTTCCTGGGTCCATTTTTTTTCCTTTTTTGAAGATGGGAACTACATCAGCTCTTTTCCGGTCCTCTGGTAGTTTCCCAGTGCTCCAGGATCTTTGAAAAATATATTACAATGGTTCTGAGATCACATCTGCCAGTTCCTTGAGAACCCTGGCGTGTAATCCATCTGGTCCTGGTGATTTGAACTCATCTAGGCTGGACAGGTGCTCACTTACCATTTTCTTGCACACCTTAACTTGCGTTTCTATTCTGAAGGACAAATGCATACAAAGTCAAAATTGGAGAAGACAGCAACAGACAATAAGTGCTGCCTATGCAAAGAAGCTGAAGAAACAGTGGACCACCTGGTAAGCTGCTGCAAGAAGATCGCACAGACTGACTACAAGCAGCGGCATGACAAAGTAGCAACAATGGTGCATTGGAAGATCTGCAAGAAATATCATTTATCTGTAAGCAAGAACTGGTAGGATCATAAAATAGAGAAAGTCATAGAAAATGATAAACTGCTCTGGGATGTCAGAATTCAAACAGACAAGCATCTGAAACATAACACCCCAGACTTAACAATTGTCAATAAGAAAGACAAAAAAATCTGGATAGTGGACGCGGCAGTGCCTGGAGACAGCAGTATAGATGAGAAAGAACTGGAGAAGATAACAAAATACAAAGACCTACAAATAGAAATAGAAAGACTGTGGCAAAAGCAAGCAAGGGTAGTACCAATAGTCATAGGCGCCTTGGGTGCAATCCCAAAACAACTGGAGCACCACTTGAACACCATTGACAAATTCGCCATTAGTCAATTGCAAAAGGCGGCCTTACTAGGAACTGCTTCCATCCTGTGATGATATCTGTAATCCACCTTATCCATCTTATCCTTGGTAAGGACTCGATAGTTAGACAAAAATGCCAAATCCAGTCTGAACATCTGGCTGACTGTGCGATGATCGATAATAATAACAACAACAACAATAATAACAATAAAAGTTGGAAGGGACATTGGAGGTCATCTAGTCCAACCCCCTGCTCAGGCAGGAAACCCTATACCAGTTCAGACAAATGGTTGTCCAGTCTCTTCTTAAACGCTTCCATTGTTGGAGCATCCACAACTTCTGGAGGCAAGCCCTTCCACTGGTTAATTGTTCTAACTGTCAGGAAATTTCTCCTTAGTTCTAAATTGCTTCTTTCCTTGGTTAGTTTCCATCTGTTGCTTCTTGTTCTGCCTTCTGGTGCTCTGGAGAATAGCTTGACTCCCTCTTCTTTGGGGCAGCCCCTGATATATTGGAAGACTGAAATATCATGTCACCCCTGCTCCTTCTCTTCATGTTGCTCAAGAGAATTGTGGATAAGAGCAGAGTAAAAATGCAGAGGACCCTTCTATGTTTTTTAAAGATTTTTCTTGTCCTGTCCTTGCAATGAGCTATGACTCAAGGCTGGGCAAGTATGGCTCCTTCATGACTAGTGGACTTCAACTCCCAGAATTCCTGAGCCAGCATGGCTCAGCTTGGAAACCTCTCCCTTTCCCCTCAGCATGGCTGGCTCAGGAATTCTGGGAGTTGAAGTCCACAAGTCATAAAAGACCCAAGTTTCCCCACCTCTGATCTAGACAGTGCAATCTTTCCCAAATAATGAAGTTATAGCTTTGCTATAATCCCCTGACAATACCTCCAAAGGAAATACTTAAGGAATTCAAGAGGGGTGGTGCAATTATACAGGTTCTCAGAAACCCCCCCCCCCTCTCTCTCTCCTCAGTTCCCACTCTGGAGTGTGTGGTGTGTTCTGACATTGGCACCAACTGTACGGGCAATCTGGAGACCTGTCACCATGAACAAGACACCTGTGTCGTCATTTTAATTCATAACACTCTCGGTGAGTGACAAATGCACTCCACATCTAGAGTCTGTTTAAGCCCGCAATTTAGGCTAGATGACATAGCATCAAGACATGGACACAACTAATCCTACCTACCTTGCATAAGTTTAGCTGAGTGATATTTCTGGAGCGTGAGTTGGCAAAGAAATGATGGTAATGTCATGGTTCTGATAGATGAAACCCATTAAAGAACTTCAAGGCAAAGGCTTTGATCTGAAGGATATCCTAGCATGGCCTCTTTGAGATCATTGCCAATCTTGGCAGTTTTAAGATGCATGGACTTCAACTCCAAAATTCTTCATCCAGTGTATTGAAGTGTATTCTCAGGGAAGGCAAAAAAGGGTATCCCATGTGCCATGCTCAATTGATTGGACATAGTCCAGTGAATGCAACAAAAATAGCTTATTTGAAATATCTATCATCTCTCTCTCTCTCTCTCTCTCTCTCTCTCTCTCTCTCTCTCTCTCTCTCTCTCTCTCTCTCTCCCTCCCTCCATCCATCCATCCATCCATCCCAGAGGCAATCATGTCTGCAGGGTTATAATAGATTTTGGAAATAGCTACGAACTCTTGGTGCTCTCCCAGGTCTCTGGTAGTTTAAAACGGCTGATGATCATCTTCAATTATGGATTCTCTTCTCTGCAACACATTCTCCATGCTGTCCCAGTAGATGCCAGGAAATTGTAGTCACTTTTCAGCCAAACTCCAAGGTCAAGAGTACCCCGTCTCCTGCTTAAATTATGAGATGCAGCTGCTGGCTAGTCTAGTCCCTTAGGACAGTGGTGGCGAACCAATGGCACGGGTGCCAGAGGTGGCACTCAGAGCCCTGTCTGTGGGCATGCATGCCATCACCCCAGTCCTAGGCCTTCAGCTGGGTTTTATAAAACCTTTTCACTTTAGGCCTCTGCTGCCGTGTGCAAAAAAAAAAAAAGTTTCAATCAATCAGTCAATTTCAACTTCTCACGGGAAAAAAAAGATCTTGCAAAGTTGGAATTGATTGATTGAACTTTTTAGTCCCATCCAGTCTGTCGTTACCACCGCAGCCACGCCCACCCAATTGGCCACACCCACCCAATGGGCCGTACCCACCCGGCACCTGACGATGCATAAGTGGGTTTTGGGTTGCAGTTTGGGCACTCGGTCTCTAAAAGGTTCGCCATCACTGCCTTAGGACATGCCTTCCTCTTTGTTTCCATCATAGGGGGCAAAGCGATGCAGACAGTGACCAAGGGCTGTGAATCCAGTGTAGTCTGTCATGATTCAAAAACCCACTTGAATATGGGGAATGGGAAAATCCTTCAAGGAAGTTTGGTTTGTTGTGATGCAAATGCTTGTAAAACAGCCATCCCTACACGTAAGTGCATATATTTTCTTGACCTCCCTCTCAATATTTGCTTTTTTCTTTTTAATGTACAAGCCAATCAATCACCAGCATTACCCCCCTTCCCACCACCAGTGCTTTACAGAACTAAAGTTAACCAATGAATATGAAAAATGAAGTCCTCCTTAGAACCTGGTAGAAAAACACCAGTCTGCCCCAGAGGGGAACAAAACTTTGGGGAATCTGGAAGACAGCCACATCTGTCCATCCCAGGTCCATGCCAGTTTAAACATCTGGCTGACTGTGCAATGAACTATAATAATAATCCAGACTAAGCATCAAACTGACCATGCAACCAGCCATACATGGGAGATTTACAAAGGTTAAAACATTTTGGAAAAAAAAAAAGAACAATACAGCTTCTCTCCCCCCCCCCAATAAATTAGCATAAGATAAAAGAACAATAATGGCAAAGGAAATAACCCGGGGGGGGGGGAGAACCAAAAGGTAGTAAGAGGCTACCCTTTCCAAAAGCCTGGGAGAATATGGCCCAGTCCAGGGATAGGCAACCTTGGCTCTTTTATGACTCATGGACTTCAACTCCCAGAATTCCTGAGCCAGCGATGCTGATGGGAAAGGGAGAGGTTTCAATGTCTAGCCATGCTGGCTCAGGAATTCTGGGAGTTGAAGTCCACAAGTCATAAAAGGGCCAAGGTTGCTCACCCCTGTCCTAGAAAGAGCTGGGCTGTGTGGTTAGCATAAACCTAGACCAGAGGTAGGCAACCTTGGCTCTTTTATGACTCGTGGACTTCAACTTCCAGAATTCCTGAGCCAGCATGGCTCAGTATGGAAACCTCTCCCTTTCCCATCAGCATGGCTGGCTCAGGAATTCTGGAAGTTGAAGTTCACAAGTCATAAAAGAGCCAAGGTTGCCTACCCCTGCCCCAGTCACTTATTTAGATCTTTTTCCCACTCTTGACTGTTAAGCTGACTGGGAATCTTCTCACCCTCCCCGCTTCTGTTTTCAGTACCACCAGCAGAGACTAAGACCAATGGAGTGCGATGCCCTGCCTGCTTTTCTGAGACGGGCTCATGCGAGAAAGAATTGACGAATTGTACTGGAGAGGAATATTACTGCTTCCACCTGTTTACGCGTTCCTATGCAAGTGAGTCCCATTTCCCATGCTAAGGGGCCTGTGAGCATCATTTGATAGCTGGCATCAAGCACAGGAAATCAGGATCCCAATCACTTCAAATGAATATATACTTGGGTTGTTTGCAAGCTTAAGCTCTCTACAAGAATCTGAACTACTAACCGTCAAAGAGTCAGTGGATTTCAAGGAGGGCTGGAGTTAGATCTTTGTAGGCAAAAAGGGACTTGAGATTGATGAAGTGATTGACCCCTCCCTTGGGCTCAGCCTAGTCATCCCCTATATCTGGATTGTGTCTAACTTGAGGTAACTATTGGATTATGAACAGTGGTGGGATTCAGCCGGTTCGCACTGGTTCAGTAGAACCGGTAGCTAAATTTTGCTGCATTTGGAGAACTGGCTGGCTTCCAGAAGTCCAGTATAGGCCTCGGAGGCCTGGAGGAGGCCTCCCAGGCCTAGAACGGCCCACTGGAAGTGCATGGATACCACTTCTGGAAGTCCGTTCTAGGCCTCGGAGTCCCAGGTCTGCATTGAATAAGAGAACCAGCTGTTCAGGTATTTGGATTCCACCACTGATTAGGAAGGATCCCATCTTTCCACGTGTACTTCACGTCCTCCTCCTCTCCATCTTTTAACAATATTTATTACCATTATTTTCTGCTTTATTATTCTAATGCAGTGGTGGCGAACCTATGGCATGCGTGCCAGAGGCGGCACTCAGAGCCCTCTCTGTGGGGACGCGTGCCATGCCTCAAAGATGGCAACCATCCCTCTTCAACCAGCCACCCGCTAACTCGCCCAGGTCCCACATGGCCAGATGCATCCCAGCACCCATGCGCTCGCTGGCCTCTGTGTGCAGGGGCCGATGGTGTCAGGCAGCAGCCCCCTGGCCCCTGCCTCACCTTGCCCTTGACAACGGCACCCCTGCCCTGCCTCGTCTTGCCTTACCTCACCCAGCAGGATGAACCTCCTACCCACCGTCCCACCTGCCAGATACCCCCTGGATCTCCCCCAACCCTGCTTGGCCCCCACAGGCGTCCCTCCCCAGGAACAACATCAAGGTGATCACGCCCACCTTGGCCACACCCACCCAGTCTGCCATGACCACCACAGCCACGCCCACTCAGTGGGCCATCCCCACCTGGCACCTGGTGATAAATAAGTTGGCTTTGGGTTGCAGTTTGGACACTCGGTCTCTAAAAGGTTTGCCATCACTGTTCTAATGTGTACAGGTAGTCCTCGTCTTGCAACCATTCATTTAGTGACCGTTCCAAGTTACAACAGCACTGAAAAAAGGGACACATGACCGTTGGATGGAAAAATAGAGATAGATAGATAGATAGATAGATAGATAGATAGATAGATAGATAGATAGATAGATAGATAGATAGAATAGGTGGTGGGTGATGGGTAGGTAGATGGATGGAAAGATAGATAGATAGATAGACAGACAGACAGACCGACAGACCGACCGACCGACCGACCGACCGACCGACCAACCGACAGACAGACAGACAGATAGATAGACAGACAGATAGATAGATAGATAACTTGTTCATAATCTGCCATAGGAAATTATCTGAAAACGCCATCTTCCACACAATTAGAGCAGAAGTGGGCAACAATGCCAACTTTAACCAGCCACACTGGCTGAGAAATTCTGGGAGTTGAAGTCCACAGATCATAAAGTTCATAGTTGCCCATCCCTGCATAAGAGGAAGATTGCTACTGAATTTGGGTTCTTATTGCATTTGATGTACAGATCGTAGTGACTGGGTTGACCTCATATCACCCCTAGTTTTTTTTTTTTTTTTTTTTTAGGAATGCAGATGGTAAGCTAATAAAATGTTATTGAGGCCAAGCTGACTTCGCCCACTTCCATCTCTCTCTGGTTCTGTTGATTAATTTTGACCTAATGGAGAGAAATGGGTTGAACGCCCACTAGAGGCGCAGGTGATTCCATCAGATTGCTTATTTTCTCTTCCATGTCCAGATGGAGAGCTCTGGGACTCAATCATGGAAGGCTGCACCACCAAGGAAACGTGCCACACCATCAATGATGGGCACCTGACCATCGTGGAACGTGGTAACACTGTGGTTATAAATTCCAGATGTTCAAAGGCTAAATCAAAGGGGGTTTACTCTTGGGAATTCCATCCCCTGAATTTTGCTGGGTTCCTGTTTCTGAGAGTCTTCCTCTAAAAGACATTTGCTATGGGGCTGCCTCAGCTCTGCCACGGAAGGAAAGGACTGATTTATTTAGGCTTCCTTCTTGTCCCTACAGTGCCTCAAGGGGCAATGAACCTCCCTCTTTGCATTGTGTCTCCGCTTTCTTTGGTAAAAATAAATGACATGTTTAAGCAAACAGGTACTGTGCGGTTGGATTTTAATCGACGCTGAGGAAAATTAGAGAATGCTCAGAGTCTTGAACTCGATCCATTGAGCCGAGGTGGCGCAGCAGTTGGAGTGCAGTACTGCAGGCCACTTTAGCTGACTGTGTTCAGCAGGTCAGCGGTTCAAATCTCACCGGCTCAAGGTTGACTCAGCCTTCCATCCTTCCAGGGTAGGTAAAATGAGGACCCAGATTGTTGGGGGCAATGTAAATATATATATACATTGCTTACTGGTGTACACCGCTTAGAGAGTGCTTGCACTTAAAGCGGTATATAAGTCTCATAAATAAATAAATAAATAAATCTGGGTATGACTTCAAAAGGAACTAGGAATGGGACATTCCTCCACATTTTTTCCTCAAACAGAGGCAAAGAGGTGCTTCGAAGCACACACAGAACATCCAGACGCTGTCCGTGATTCTCTACCCAGCCCAGTCATGGAATCCTGAAAAAAAAAAAAACAACCAGCGGCTTTAAGATCTTTACATGTCCAATGGGGGCACTACGTGGAATTTTAGACTTGTTATTAGCACTTTCATGAAGGTGATATTAGCATTTTAGTGTGGCATCCATGCCTCCTTTTTTTTTGACTCAATATTTCTGTTGTTGTTAGTTGCGAAGTCGTGTCCGACCATCACGACCACATGGACAATGTTCCTCCAGGCCTTCCTGTCCTCTGCCATCTTCTGGAGTCGTTTTAAGCTCATGCCTACTGCTTCAGTGACTCCATCCAGCCACCTCCTTCTCTGTCATCCCCTTCTCTTATTGCCCTCAATCTTTCCCAGCATTAGGCTTTTCTCCATTGAGGGCAATAGAAGGGGACGATAGAGAAGGAGGTGGTTGGATGGAGTCCTTCCTTCTCATTAGGTGGCCAAAGTATTTGAGTTTCAACTTCAGGATCTGGCCTTCCAAAGAGCAGTTGGGGTTGATCTCCTCTAGGACTGACCGGTTTGATTGCCATGCAGTCCAGGGGACTCGCCGGAGTCTTCTCCAGCACCATAGTTCAAAGGCCTCACTTCTTTTGCGCTCAGCCTTTCTTATGGTCCAACTTTCACAGCCATACATTGCAACTGGGAAAACCATGGCCTGGACTATACGCACTGTTGTTGGCAGGGTGATGTCTCTGCTGTTTAGTATGCTGTCTAGATTTGCCATAGCTTTCCTCCCCAGGAGCAAGCGTCTTTTAATTTCTTGGCTGCAGTCTCCATCTGAGGTGCTCTTGGAGCCCAGAAAAATAAAATCTGTCACTACCTCCATTTCTTCCCCATCTATTTGCCAGGAATTGAGAGGGCCGGATGCCATGATTTTGGTTTTCTTAATGTTGAGTTTCAAGCAACTTTTGCACTCTCCTTCTTCACCCGCATCAAGAGGCTCTTTAGTTCCTCTTCACTTTCTGCCATTAGAGTGGTATCATCTGCATATCTTAGGTTGTTGATATTTCTCCTGGCAATCTTAGTTCCAACGTTTGATTTATCTAGCCATACAAACCAATATCTCTAATAAAACAGCCTCTATTTTAGAGGTTTAGGAAAGCATGTGTTTCCTTTGAGCCAAAGGAAATGAGCCACTTCCTTGCTGTGATGCACAAAATTAGCCCTTTCATGTATCCAGCACTGCAAGTATTAAAGAAACAAATCCTTGTAGAAAAGGAGGAGCCAGGACATTTGAAGGGTGTCTATCTGTTCTCACTTCTAAGGAATGCCTTTTCATTGCAATCTGACACATCCCACATACTGAATGTATGTATTCTTTGTTCTGTACCTTATGCAGGCAGTCCTCGACTTACAAAAGTTCATTTAGTGACCCCTCAAATTTATGGCACTTTAAAATGTGACTTAGGAACATTTCTCACACTTATAATCCTTGCTGCATCCCCAAGGTGAGATGATCAAAATTCAGAAGCTTGACAACTGACATGTACTTATGATGGCTGCAATGTCCCTGGGTCATCTGATCACCTTTGACGACCTTGCCACAAGCAAAGTCAATGGGGAAGCCTGATTCGCTTCACTTAAGAGGTTCCAGAAGGTGGGAACCATGACAGAAAAGGCTCTCTTTCTGGGTCCCACCAGCTGGCAGGCTTTAGTAGGCAAAGTCTAGACGAGCATGCATCTCTGGCTGGATCTGGTGGGTTTAGAGGCAGTCCCTGAAACAACCAGCTCCATGCCATGATGGGTTTATAGGCAACTACCTGCACTTAAATGAACTCACATTTTAGCATGAATTATTTTAACTTTTATTATTAAAGTGGAACATTTGACAGAGTTGGCTATGGTTGACTGGGCCTACAATCATAATCAACATCAATGAATCAATTAATGAATCAATCAATTCACTCCTCCTCAAATCTTCTCTGCCTGCCTGCCTGCCTGCCTGCCTGCCTATCTATCTATCTATCTATCTATCTATCTATCTATCTATCTATCTATCTATCTATCTATCTATCTATCTATCTATCTATCTATCTATCTATCCATCTATCTATCTATCTATCCATCCATCCATCCATCTCATCTGTCTGTTGATCCATCCATCTATCCATCCATCTATCCATCCATCCATCCATCCATCCATCCATCTACCCACCCACCCACCTACCTACCTACCTACCTACCTACCTACCTACCTACCTACCTACCTACCTACCTACCTACCTACCTCTTACATCCATCTACTTACCTACCTACCTACCTACCTACCTACCTACCTACCTACCTACCTACCTACCTACCTACCTATCTATTATCTCTCACTCTCTTTTTCTTTCTCTCTCATCTCCACTCACCCACCTTTCTCTCTCTCTTTCTCACCCTCCCCCCCTCAGACTTACAAATCTGTAGGCTACTGAAAAATAAAAGTACTGTCCCTTTAAGTGCAATGGAACCTGACAGATGACAGTTACATCAGTTTAACACACCAAAAGCCCTGTGCTGAGAGGACTGAACAAGGAGAGATGCCGAAAACCATCTGTTAATAATGGTTAGATATGTTACTTGATATCAGGCTGTCCTTCCCAAACAAAATTCTCCAGCTAAAAGTAGCCAGCCAGCTAAATTATTATTTATTTTTAAATTTTAAATATTTATACAGGTAATATACGATTAGATTCACAATCTAAGACTGATAATTCAAGTCCTAACCAAGGACCTAAGAATTATTAAGGTAGTTTCTTAGAATATAGTTCAGTGTTTCTCAACCTTGACAATTTTAAGGCATGTGGACTTCAACTCCCAGAATTCCACAGCCAGCAATGCTGGCTGTGGAATTCTGGGAGTTGAAGTCCACATGCCTTAAAATTGTCAAGGTTGAGAAACACTGAAATTATAGTTAGTTCTGAGCAGGGTATGTTTTTGTAAAATTAGGGTGTTCGGATCTGATCCGTTCAAAATATCCAAATATAGGAGAGTGTTTTAGGTATGGGCTCCAATCACAACTGGTGTAAAAATGGGATTTTTTCCCCCCTATAAGTATTCAACATAAATAGTTCTGGTATTTCATAACGTTTTGAAATTGCTTTTCTTCAATCCTAGAATCATCTGGCATAGTAACATCAACAAACTGAACTCTATTCATTGACTGTTATAACAGGTATGTTACCAACCTGATGCCTGAAGTCCCATAAGATCTTAACCTGCTCATTTTCCAAAACCTTCTTAATTAGATGGTGCCAATAATTCTTGCAACACCCAAATCCAAATCTTTGGCAACATTTCCAATGAATAATTTTGACATCTTGGTTATGATGCGGCTTCTTGTCCATTAGTGAAATTTTGTTGTAGTCACTAATCAAGTGATCAATTGTCTCATCTTTTTCACCACAGAGGTGAAATTACTGTTGCTTGCTACATGTTGACTTTTGGCTTTGCACTCCATTGACCAAGTGCCAGCGCTGCTAACATCAGATGTTTTTCTTTGACAACAGTTGGAGATGCAACGATTTTCTTCTTATGTTTTACTCTTAGAGCTAGAGTTAGAGTTAGATGATGCTGGGGGGAGGAATGTGCATGAGAGTTTAGCTAGACATAACAATGCTGGACCTAGTGTGTGAACCAAGGTTATTGAAATAAGAGATGATAAGAATTGGTGGGCTGGAGAACTGGAGGGGAAGCCTGCCTTTCAAACTAATTGGAGAATGTGATTTATGACTGTTACTTGGAGGAGGGAATTGTGCTTTGATATTATGTGCTCAGGGGAGGGGAATTCAGTTTTTGGCTTCGGTTATGTTAGTGCCAACACTATGCTTCTCTAATAAAGATTCTTTAAGGTAAACAATGCCTCAGAATTCTTTGAAGAGTTTCATCTGTCGGAACCATAACACAAAGCTTGTTCTTGAGCTGCTAAAATAAAGCCTTCAGTTTCTTTCTTTAACATTGTCTACGGAGATTCTCAGTCCTCCAGATCATGGTTGTCCCAAAGATGCTTTTTCAAGAGGGAACTAGACTTTCTTTGTTTTTCTTTGAAGACGTTTCGCTTCTCATCCAAAAAGCTTCTTCAGCTTTTTAACATTCTTAACCAATTTCATGTGGGGTTTTTATTGGCTATTCCAATAGTCCAAGGGTGTCAAACTGCCAGCCCGCGGATCGATTGCATCATGCAGAGGCCACACCCAACCCAGCTCCGGCAATGTGAAAAAAGTCATGATACGTCATGCCGCGTCATGTGACGTGGCGAGTTTGACACCCATGCAATAGTCCTTGACTTACAGCTGTAATGAAGCCTAGAATTTCCATTGTAAATCATGATGGTGGTGAGTCAAGGCATCAGTGACCGAGACTTGATTTTACAGCTCTTTTTTTTGCAGTGATTGTTAAGTGAATGCAGTGGTCATTAACTGAATGTGGCAGTCGTTAAGCAGATCAATGTATTCTTGGGGTGTTTTTTGTTGAAAACTGGCTGAAAGGCTAGAAAGCTGCAAAAAAAAAATCACAAAAAGCGGTCACACGATTTGCTGCTTCCCCCATTTAGGAAGGAAGAAAGATTTCTGATGCTCCTTTGTCAACTCAAAGAGGAAGCCACTAGGAAGTCAGAAGCTCTTCCTTCTCCCTCTGTCCCCCCCACCCCAGTTTTGGTCATTTGTCTAGTAAATATTAAAACATAGAAAACCCACCACATATAATCTCTGGCACCCGATGATTTGTTCCTTTTCTGACAATACACACAACCATTGAATTTCTTTCACTACCCATGTTAATGTAATAATAATAATAATAATAATAATAATAATAATAATAATAATAATAAAGTTGGAAGGGACCTTAGAGGTAATCTAGTCCAGTGGTGCCCAAACTGCAACCCAAAACCCACTTATACATCGTTGGGTGCCAGGTGGATGTGGCCCATTGGGTGGGCGTGGCTGAGGTGGTAAGAGCAGACTGGATGGGACTAAAAAGTTCAATCAATCAATTCTAACTTTGCAAGATCTTTTTTTTTCCTGCGAGAAGTTGAAATTGACTGATTGATTGAACCTTTTTTTTTGTACACGGCAGTGGAGGCCTAAAGCAAAAAGGTTTTATAAAACCCAGTTGAGGCCTAGGACTGGGGTGACAGCACGTGTGCCCACAGAGTGGGCTCTGAGTGCCACCTCTGGCACCCGGGCCATAGGTTTGCCACCACTGATCTAGTCCAACCCCCTGCTCAGGCAGGAAACCCTATACCATTTCAGACAAATGGCTGTCCAGTCTCTTCTTAAAGACTTCCAGTGTTGGAGCATTCACCACTTCTGGAGGCAGGTTGTTCCACTGGTTAATTGTTCTAACTGTCAGGAAGTTTCTCCTTAGTTCTAGGTTGCTTCTCTCCTTGGTTAGTTTTCATCCATTGCTTCTTGTCCTGCCTTCAGGCGCTTTGGAGAATCGCTTGACTCCCTCTTCTTTGGGGCAACCCCTGAGATATTGGAACTCTGCTATCATGTCCCCCCTCGTCCTTCTCTTCGTTAAACTAGACATTCCCAATTCCGGCAACCATTCCTTATATGCTTTAGCCTCCAGTCCCTTAATTAGTACAAGTTCTGTACTAATGAAATAGTGAAGAATGGCTCAGTTCCCCATTGCAAACTTACCACTAGGTAGCAGCAAAGGCCTATAGGAGATACAAACTAAAATACAGTACAAGTAATTGGGAGCCCAACATCTCTGTTGCTAAGCAAGACCATCCATGGTTTAGCGAATTTTGACCCATTTTTACTACTTTTCTTACCACAGTTGTTAAGTGAATCACTGTTAGTAATACGGTTGTTAAGTGAATCTGCCCTCTCCATTGACTTTGTCTGTCAGAAGGTCTCAAAGGCTGATCACACGACCCCGGGACGCTGCAACGGTCATAAATATGAACCGGTTGCCAAGCATCTGACTTTTGATCATGTGACCAAGGGGATGCTGGGACGGCCGTACGTGTGAAAAACAGTCCTAAGTCACTTTGTTTTTAGTGCCGTTGTAACTTTGAAGGGTCACTAAATGAACTGTTGTGGTTCTTTAATGCATGTAATACTTACTTGACTTACCTGATTCCTCAGGACATCATTACTGGGACTTGTGAGGATTCATCACAAGAAGATGGGCTCCTTAAGACTGGACAACATGCAGGCTCTTCTAAAACTTCTCTTTTGCTTTCTGCTTCTAGCAAAAGGTAAAAAATGTCTTTGCTTGATGCTTAGTTCTTTAGTTGGACAAATGGAAGCAGATCCAAGCTGGAGCAGGTATACAGCCAGGCTTCCCAATCATTTTAAGTCGTGTGGACTTCAACGCCCAGAATTCCTCAGCCAGCATGCTGGCTGAGGAATTCTGGGCGTTGAAGTCCACACGACTTAAAATGGCTAAGGTTGGGAAACTCTGGTGTACAGACTGATATATTTCCCCCCCCCCATAAAATACCCTAATGGGGCAGCATTCAACTATATTGGACCAAGATGAGATAGTAAGGCATGGGAGTAACTGCCAGCCTTTGATCTTTATTTTAGGATTCTATGGGTATCACTGTGTGGCCAGAACAAACACAACAAACCACAAATTCCCTATTTCTAATTTGGCATTTGCTCGGGCTCCCAGGTGCAGGCTTTAAAATAAAAGAGAAATATAATCATGCATCAGTTTGAGAGTGGTGTTTTTCAACCTCGGTGGCTTGAAGATGTGTGAATTCTGGGAGTTGAAGTCCACATGTCTTCAAGCTGCTGAGGCTGAGAAACACCACTCTAGAGCAAACCATAACCATGAATAAACCAGCAGACAAACCAACAATGAACACTAGCCATATATCTTCTTGCCCTTCATACCATTTCAACTTTGCCTACCACAGCCCTGTGGATCACCACTAGGAGCAAGAATTTATATTCTCAGCAGGTTTAGGACGTTGGCATCATGGTGCCCATGACTCAAACACACCAGTTTGTCTTTGTTTTCCTGTTTTCAAGGTGGTTGCTTGAAATGTGAAATCTGTGTGAGCAACAGCACTTCCTGTACCGGTCCCAAGCAGAACTGCACTAAAGGGGACACCTGCATCGTTGCAATTACGATATCTACTATGGGTCAGTGCAAGGATCTATGAAGCAAGAAAAGGGTGTGGGTGGGTGGGTGGGGTGTGGGTTGTGTGTCAGTGGGTGGATGGGAATTCCCAACTATAGCAAGGCAATCTCTGCTTTTTGTGCAGCTGGTAAATTCTTCACTCCCAGACTGAGAGTTCAGGAAAGTTCAAAGCTGCTTATCAAAGCTCTCTCTCTCTCTCTCTCTCTCTCTCCCTCCCTCCCTCCCTCCCTCCCTCCCTCCCTCCCCCCCCCTCTCTCACACACAGCATCTTCCAATGTTAGTCTTTGCTACTGTCAGCCTGCCACTCTTCACTCAGGATGCATAATCAGGTCAGAAGCGTTTGTACAGCATCCTAAGCTTGGTTAATTTTACCTTTGCTAAATTGTAATAGAGAAGAATATCTCTGGCTCAGGGTTGGACTGTGGGGTACTTGGTGCTCTCTGAGCTTGGTGGTGTTCTTGTAGATGTTTCATTGCCCAACTAGGGAACATCATCAGTGCACTGGTAATGAAATGTCTGCAAGAAACCACCAAGCTTAGAGAACACCAAGACCCTTCATTTGTTAGTTTCCTCCTCCTCCTCCTCCTCCTCCTCCTCCTCCTCCTCCTCCTCCTCCTCATCCTCCTCCTGACAGTTAGAACAATTAACCAGAGGAACAACCTGCCTCCAAAAGTTGTGAATGCTCCAACATTGGAAGTTTTTAAGAAGAGACTGGATAGCCATTTGTCTGAAATGGTATAGGGTTTCCTGCCTGAGCAGGGGGTTGGACTAGAAGACCTCCAAGGTCCCTTTCTACTCTACTCTACTCTACTCTACTCTACTCTACTCTACTCTACTCTACTCTACTCTACTCTACTCTACTCTACTCTACTCTACTCTATTCTCTAATCCAGTCTAGTCTATTATTCTATTCTGTTCTGTTCCGTTCCATTCCTTTCCATTCCATTCCGTTCCATCCCGCCCCGCCTCACCCCATCCCTCCCCGTCCCGTCCCACCCCATTCCATTCCATTCCATTCCATTCCATTCCATTCCATTCCATTCTATTCTTCTACTCCATTCCATTATTCTATTCTATTCTATTCTATTCTATTCTATTCTATTCTATTCTATTCTATTCTATTCTATTCTATTCTATTCCCCCCCACTCCTCCTCTGCGCATATTGTGTGAACCAGCCCATTAGATTAGTTTATCTTTCAATATCACAACCCTACATAACATTCAGGATTCAGTAATCGAATCGGTTGTGGGAACAAAGTCAGTTTGAACACAGAGCGGGTCCATGAAACATGTCGCTCAGGCAAATACCGTCTTCCCCGTCCTTAGGCAAGGCATTTTTCCAATCCCATGAAACAGTGTTTTATTTTCTCCTTTGACTTCCACTGTAGAACAGGTCCCTGAGTACAATTTTGAGAAAAAGTGTGGCTTTTCCTCTTCGTGTGATAACTCCCAGATGTACTACAATGTGGGGAATGGACAAATGTTCCGCCACAAACAATACTGCTGCACTGAGGAAACCTGCTCCAAAATTTCACCAACATGTAAGAGTTGCTTTAGACTAACGATTTTAGCCCTACTTGTCAGCTCAAATAACGTCCACAATAGATCACAGGTAGGCGGCCTTTAATGCAGCAGTTAAGGCAGCAGGCTAGAACCCGGGAAACCAGGAGTTCTAGTCTCACATCAGGCACAAAACCAGCTGGGTGACCTGGGCCAGACACTTTATCTTAGCCCTAGGAAAGAGACAATGGCAAACTGCCTCTGAAAAACCTTGCCAAGAAAACCGCGAGGCCTTGTACAGGTGATTGCCAGGAGTCAAAAATGACTCAAAGGCACGAAAAGGAGGGGGGGGAGAAGCAAGTGTTGGGCCGTTAAGTGGCTCTTCGTTAATTTTATGCAGCTGAATTTGAAAAGCTGTCAGTGACCATCTCTTTGGGATCTCTGAGAACCCAAATCTGTCCTTTATCGTTTTGTTAGTATGTTATTGATTTAATTTATATCCCACCTTTATTACTTTTATAAACAACTCAGGATGGCAACTACATCTAAGACTCCTTCCTTCTCCTATTTTCTCCATTACATCAACGCTGTGAAGTGGGATGGTCGGAGAGAGAGTGACTGGCTCAAAATCACCTAGGTGGGACTAGAACTCACTGTCTCCCAGATTCTAGCCTGCTGCCTTAACCGCAAAACTAGACTGGCTCTCTGTGTGTGTTTTTCTGTTTAAGTACTGTACGGTTGCGTGTGTACAACCCCCCCCACCAATGAGTCAAGATGGCAGCCACAGTTATATGACACATGTAAAAGGGATGAGATTTCAATCACATGGTTGTAGCCCCTGCCTTGACTTTTGGGGACCCTCTCTGGTGAGAAGGAAGGAAGGAAGGGAGGGAGGGAGGAAGGGAGGGAGGAAAGGAAAGGAAAGAAAAGGAAAGGAAAGGGAAGGGAAAGGAAAGGGAAGGGAAGGGAAGGAAAGGAAAGGAAAGGAAGGAGGAGGGAGGAAGGGAGAGAGGGAGGAAGGAAGGGAAGGAAAGGAAGGAAGGAAGGAAGGAAAGAAGGAAGGAAGGAAGGCAAGCAAAGCAAAGCAAAGCAAAGCAATGCAAAGCAAAGCAATGGAAGAAAGGAAAGGAAAGGAAAGGAAAGGAAAGGAAAGGAAGGAGGAAAGGAGGGAGGGAGGGAGGGAGGAAGGAGGGAAGGAAGGAAGGAGGGAGTGAGAAAGAAAGAAAGGAGGGAGGGAGGGAGAAAGGGAGGAAGGAAGGAAGGGAGGGAGGGAGGGAGGGAGGGAGGGAGGAGAGGAAAGAAAAGAAAAGGAAAGGAAAGGGAAGGGAAGGGAAGAGGAGGGAGGGAGGGAGGGAGGAAGGAAGGAAGGCAAAGCAAAGCAAAGCAAAGCAAAGCAAAGCAAAGCAAAGCAATGGAAGAAAGGAAAGGAAAGGAAAGGAAAGGAAAGGAAGGAGGAAAGGAGGGAGGGAAGGAGAGAATGAGGAAGGAGGGAGGGAGGGAGGAAGGAAGGGAGGGAGCCAAATATCCATTGGCTACATTCTCTTCTTTCCATCCGTCTCCAAACTGTTAGGCAGGGTGATTTAATAAGAACATCGTATTGAAAACAGTAATTAGATGCTCTTAAGACTGCTCAGTCACCACTTCTAGAAGCTACCAATGAATCTTCTAGAAATCTCTTTCCTGGGCTACTCATGACACTGAAGTATGCAATGTATTGTCCTCGACTTATGGTCATAAATGAGCCCAAAATTCCCGTTGCTGAGTTTTGCCCCATTTTACAACCTTTCTCGCCACAACTGTGACGTTAATCACTGCAGTTGTTAAGTTAGTAACAGCTAACTTAACAGGGAATCTGGCTTCCCCATTGACTTTGCTGGGCCAGAAGGTCACAAAAGGGGATCACGTGACCCCGGGACACTGAGACAGTCATAAATACGGGTTGGTTGCCAAGCGACTGAATTTTGATCACGTGACCCTGGGGACGCTTCAGCGGTTGTAAGCGTGGGAAACAATCACAAGTCACCTTTTTTTTTCCAGTGCTCTTGTCACTTCAAACAGCCACTTCAAACGAATGGTTGTAAGTTGTATCTGTATGCTCGACTCTGAATGAAGCTTACCCCAATTTGGACTCTAAAGTAACAAGAATCCTTGAATCCTCTTCTTTCAGTGCCAACGTTACAGAAAGACCCGGAAGGGAAAAAATGCCCTGCTTGCAACAGCTTGGGGGAGCCCTGCAAAGAGGACAGCAAAGTGGAATGTTCTGGCGACGATCCTGAATGCTTTATTCTAACTATGAACCTGACTCTTGGTAATGCTTTTGTTTTCCGAGAGGGTGGGTTAGAATTGCCCAAGATCTAGCACCAGTGGTGGGATTCAAATACTTGAACAACTGGTTCTCTGCGTGGATGCAGGCCTGGGCCTCTGAGGCCTAAAACGGACTTCCGGAAGTGGCATCCACGCACTTCTGGCAAGCCTCCTCCAAGCCTTCCAGGCCTAGAATGGACTTCCGGAAGCATTGTGCATTCAGCTGGTTCTCTGAACTCAACAAAATTTAGCTACTGGTTCTGCTGAAGTGGTGTGAAGCAGCTGAATCCCACCACTGTCTAGGACCCATACCTTGTGAGGAACTGAACAATTTGACAAGGCATTCTAGCTGAACGATGCTGGAAGCTGGAGTATGTTTGGGCTACTTTAAGGGGTCACTCAAAGCCCCACTGAAATAAATAGGCAGCCTGGAACAAACTCTAGTTAGGTATTTCTCCATCCTGGCAACTTTAAGATGTGCGGACTTCAACTCCCAGAATTACCCAGTGCACGTGTGTGTGTGTGTGTGTGTGTGTGTGTGTGTGTGTGTGTGTGTGAGAGAGAGAGAGAGAGAGAGAGAGAGAGAGAGAGAGAGAGAGAGAGACAGAGAGAGAGAGACAGAGAGAGAGAGACAGAGACAGAGACAGAGAGACAGAGGGCTTTGATAAGCAGCTTTGAACTTTCCTGAACTCTCAGTTTGGGAAATACAGTGGAAAATTTTCCAGCCACACAACAAGTGAGAGAAAGAGAGACAGAGATTAAGAGAAAGAGAGAGAGAGAGAAAAAGTGAGAGAACGAGTGAAAAGAAACAGAAAGAGACAAAGAGGGAAAGAAAGACAGTGAAAGAGAGAAAGAGTGAGAGAACAAGTGAGAGAAAGAAAGGCAGATTAAGAAAAAGAAAGAAAAAGTGAGAGAATAAATCTGTGTAAGAGAGAAAAAACAGAAAGAAAGAGGGAGAAAGAGAAAGGGAAAAAGAGACAAAGAGAGAAAGAGTGAGACAAAGAGGGTGAGAACAAGTGAGAGAAAGAAAAAGAGAGACATTGGGGACAGTATGATTGTTATTTGAGTTTTGCTGCTAAGCAAAACTCAAATAACCTATGGGTCAACCTATGGGTCGCGACCCCATTTGGGGTCGATCGACCATGTCACGGGGGTCGCCAAGCAAGGCTGTCTGCCATTTTTTTCCCTTTTCCGGTGGTGCCTTACCTCCCTTGGGCTGGGCCAGCTGGTGGCCCAGCCGGTGGTTGGCCTGCTCCATCTCTGCCGCTTGCCAGCTACGTCTTGGCCGGCGCAGGGGGCGGCACCACGCATGCGCGGCACTCCCGGGCAGGGAAAGTCCTCGACTTACAACCGGTTGGGTAGTCCTCGACTTACAACTGGTTTAGTCCTCGACTTACAACCGGTTGGGGGTCGCGGCATTAAAAAGGTTGAGAACCACTGTGCTAAGCTTTGTCACGGGTACTTTTAACTAGATCCAGTTTGGGTGAGCTCAAGACATAAAAGAGCCAACAATTTTTGACTGGTCCCTAGAAGACACCCACAAGGACTTGCATACTCACATATTATTGCTCACCTCACAGTCTTGTCCACAGCTACTCCTACTATTAACTCCTTGTGAACACTGCTGGAGAAAAACAACCCTTTCTGGCTGTTTTTAACTTCTGCATGGAAACACACATCTTCGTCTTTTGCTTCTTCGCTCCCCCCCCCCCCCCGCCCAACCCTTAGCTTTTTCACAGCCTACCTTTTATAGTCAACTTTGTGGTGTCAGCTGGGCAGATGCTGACAAAAAGACAGCACAGGCCATTTGCTGGGCAGCCTTCTCTCTCTCTCTCACAGGCCTGGAGGATCATTAGGTCAGTCTCTGTGGGAGCTGTGTTCAAGTTCTGATAAATCTTGGCTCTTCAGCTATTGGATACCATTCTGTTCTTCCCATTCAGATGGAGAACTTATCCAGCACATTATGAAAGGATGCAGTTCCAAAAATATGTGCGATATCATGCAAAGTGGCGTAGAGTCCGTACTAGATCGGAACGTAATCAAGTGTATCTTTTCGGGGGTATCTCAAGTTCTGGCATGCTTCCTGACAACTTTCTCCAGCCTTTGGATCTTGAAGTTACTTGTCTAAGTGAAATAAGCACAGGACTGGAGTGGCTCAGCTCTGCTCTGAAGTATTGCCTCCCTTACACTCCATATTCCATATTGCACGGCCTTCCTACAGTCTGTAGCTTCTCGGCTCGTAATTCACTTTTTTCTCCCCCTTCCCCTGTGGAGTTCAGTAAAAAAATAAACTCCAGGTTTAAAAGAAACAGGATTTGAATGTTTTGCTGTCTATTGATAGAACTTGGGATGGGAGGACGATTTACACACATGCAGAAACACACAGCCGTTGCCAGGAGACCACAGCCGAAACCTCAGTGATTCAGTTGAAGGGAATTAGATAATTAAATGAGCTTTTAAAAAAAGTAATATATTTTATGGTTTCCTCCTATCAGCTCTCCTTCTGTCCATTCCTTTCAACCAGAATTGATGAATTGAGCAAATTACACACTGTGCCTTTTAGTGAGTTAGCCCTACACGTGAGTAAGGCCTTCCTTGTGATAACAATTTTGCAAGGAAGAGTTTGCATCTGGAAAGGACTCTTGCCTTAAAGCCCTCCCCCCATTGTTGGTTTCTGAAACAATGTCTCATTTCTAGTTTGGTGTCAATGCTGCAAATATTGTATATTCTTGCTTTTGACAATATGCAGAATTGTCTGGTAAATATGGGGTTAATAAAGAGCAGAAGGGGCGTTGGGGGTAAAGCCTGGGAAAGAAAGAGGAAGGAAACCTTTGACCTTCACACTAATTGGATAGTGTGAGATATGATGGCTAATTTAGGGAGGCAACACTCTGATAATTTAACTGCTCAGAGGAAGAGAACTTAGATCCTAGCATCCCTCCGTTGTGCCTGTGCCGACATTTTGTAACATTAAAAGACTTTTAGGAAAATAAATGCCTGGAAGTTCTTTGGAATGTTTCATTAGCTTGCTAGTTTTGTCTCCCTTGCTGCTCTGTTGGATTGCCATGCTAATACTCTACTTCAGTGATGGCGAACCTTTTAGAGACCGAGTGCCCAAACTGCAACCCAAAACCCACTTATGCATCGTCAGGTGCTGGGTGGGTGTGGCCCATTGGGTGGGTGTGGTCCATTGGGTGGGCGTGGCCCATTGGGTGGGTGTGGCTGCAGTGGTAATGGCAAACTGGGTGGGACTAAAAAGTTCAATTCTAACTTTGCAAGATTTTTTTTCTCGCGAGGTTGAAATTGACTGATTGATTGATTGAACCCTTTTTTTTTTTGCACATGGCGGTGGAGGCCTAAAGCGAAAAAGTTTTATAAAACCCAGCTGAAGGCCTAGGACTGGGGTGATGGCGCGCGTGCCCACAGAGAGGGCTCTGAGTGCCGCCTCTGGCACCCGTGCCATAGGTTTGCCACCACTGCTCTACTTAATTTTGCCTCTCTCAGATTTGCAAATAGATCTGCAAACTTTTTACTTACTTATTTATTTTTTTTTAAAAAAATAATAATTTAAAAAAAATCACAGGGGAGGAAGCACAATACCTATTGTCTTGTGCCCAATTGCCCGACTCATATTGTTTTATATTTTCTTCTTCCCTTTTCCTCCTTCCCAGAAATTTCCTCCCTTGAGGCAGGGTGTGTGTGTGTGTGAGGGGTGTCAGAACTGAAAAAGCTTCTTGGATGAGAAGTGAAACATCTTCCAGGGAAAAAAAAAATCCAGTTGCCTTTTGGAAAAAAGCACTTAGGGATATAATATTGATCTGAATGTGACGGTGCATTTCTCTTCTCTGAATGCAGACCTGGGTGCAGAAATTAGGGAAAGGTGACATAACATACAGCGACACCAGACATTAAACCTTGATGTAGATGTGAAGAGAGGGACTACATAGCTGCTACCTCTAGCACAGGGTGTCAAACTCAATTTCACTGAGGGCCACATCAGCATTGCGGTTGCCCTTAGGGGGCCAGGTGGGTGTGGCCAGAGTGGGTGCAGCCTACTGGGTGGGTATGGATGGAGTGGGTGTGGCCTACTGGGTGGGCATGGCCAGTTCTATATCATTCACATCAAGGGTGCCTGTGGGGGCCTGGGCAGGAGTGGGACAGATCTGAGGGTCTCTGGCAGAAGGGGGTGGGACCAGGGCAAGTGCCAAGGCATGGTCCACTGGGGCAAGTGCCAAGATGGCCACCACAAAATTGTACATTGGCTCCCAGCCGGCCTGGGCCAGGGCCAAGGCAGTGGGGGCCGTTCCCTCACTGTTTGCAAGATAGCTTCGCGGGCCACATGAAATCACTTCACGGGCCACACCTGGCCCCCAGGCCTTGTGTTTGACATGTCTGCTCTAGCAGATCTTGTCTGCTGTCATTTCCAGAGCTCCTGGCAAGCTGAAGAAAAGGTGAATGGATCCATCTTTCTTTTTTGGCAACTCCGTACTTTTGTTTAATGAATTATTTGAGGGGCTTTCAGCCTGGTTTGAACCTTGTTGACTTTCTTAACGGGGTTCATGGTGTAAACTTATCCAAAACACTTTTTGGAACCTTCTCAAGCTGAATCTGGCATTCATGGCTCCCAGCGTGGTCTAGAGCAGCAGGAATATTTTTTTGAAGAAGGAAAAAAGAAGAACTCTTCTGGCTGAAAACCATTTATAGGAAAGGCCAAAACAGTGACGAGCTGAAGCAAACGCTGGGAGCAGAACCGTTCTGTAAACAGGAGGAGCCGTTGCTAATAATAACTGGGGAAGGGGTTGAAAAGGAAACACTCACTCCAACTGCACTGCTGCGAGCTGCAGTGATGAACGGCTGCCAAAACTGGCCGCAATGTCTATGTAGCAAACTGCGATTCTCTTCCATATTTCCTAACAAGCCCAAAAATACACCCTTGCTTCAGGTTTGCAGTGACTCATCATGATAAATGCATGGAAATGCAGCCATTCTTTCTGCTTCTGCTTTTTCTCCTCCATTGGCATCTACCACTCCCCTGACTCTTTTTCAAATGAAATTTGGATTTATATAACATCAACGCTGTTTAGAGGAAAGCAAAGATATTTCGGAGGGGTCTGATCTGCAGAGCTGTTACCTCTCTCTCTCTCTTTTTTTTACTGGTCTTCGTCATTTCAGAAAGAAGGGTGGGGTGCTGTGGGCTAAGCTCCTCCCTTTATAGAGATGTTTTCCCCTCTGAAATTCTTGGCCAGATATAGGCAGAGGTTTATGCTCAATTGTTCTTAAGCTTGGATCTCAAAGGACATCTGGTCCTCTCTCCTGGATCTCTTTCACGGCAGCTGGTAAGTCTTTCAGTCTTTTTAAGATGAGCATTTCCATGAGATAATGAGTTTCCTATTATCACAAATAGTTCATGATAGTGTATCCCAAAAATTTAAGTGGCATATTCTTCCATTTGGGTGGGGCAGGCAGAGGCAAGCAATGTTTTTTTTTTTTTTTTTTTACCCAGCGGAGACTGCAAATTGCATGCAATTCAACAAGATTTTTCTGGGTGTCACCTCGGCTTCTTCTAGCCAAGTATCTAACGGAGGTGTAAGGAGATTTACACTTTTCTTAGACAATCATCTCTTCACCCATTTCCTGTTTTCCAGCTTTTCAATTAATTTTCCTGGGGGTGGTCTCCATACAATGAATACACCCCCCCCCCTCCAAGCACTTTTTCAAGCAGGAGGCTGGGGAATTTTAGGCTAATCGGAAAAACATATATGCACAAATTAGCAAAAGGGAGGGAGGAGATTGTCTAAACCGTTATGTCAATTTATAACCATAAAAACATGAAGCTTGTGCACAAGGTGGTTGAGAAGCAGAAGTTTATTTTGTAAAAGAGAAAAAAGGAAGGAGGGAGGGAGAGAGGAGAGAGAGGGAGGGAGGGAGGGAGGGAGGGAGAGAGAAATACTAGTTTATACTAGTTAAATTAACTAATTAATTTAGTTAATTGGAAGCCAGATTTTGGCATAGCGTTGCAGATATTTCTCCCCATGTTTTCATGTCACCCAATACAAAAATAACTGCTGAGCTAATAAAGGGAGCACCCTTTCTTTATTTGTTTGTGAAGCAAAGCCCACCAATTTGAGTGGTTACTACTTATATTTGTCTTAGTTTGGGGGCTAAAGAGAATGGTTGGCACTTTTAACAAGTTGGCACTTTTAACAGGTTGGCGAACAAAAGTGTTTTCCTTCAAGAAGAGATTTTTTTTTTTATTTTTTACCTCTGTGCCTAATTCATCAACATGCAGCTTCTGGTGGGTCTCGTCTTCTTCTCCGTCCTCTTGATTACAGGTATGGACAGGGTTGTCCTCTGGGGGTGGATGGGTGGGGTGAGGGAGTTGTCAGTGAATCTAAGGAGGATTCTGCATACCAGCCACTTGGGGCAAAGGATTTCCTAGGGATCACGAAAAGTCTTGAGAATGTCTCAACGATGGAGCGCTGTGCTTGGAAAACTGGTTGTAGAGTCAGACTATAGAGCACGGTTTATCAAAAAGTATACAAATCAAGAGAGAACTTGCCACACTCCTGGTCTTTTAACCTAATCAGGTTTGCTCTGGATTAACCATTAAGCAAAATAAACGTTCGCTTTGGACATTAAGGAAAAGTGCCATAGATATTTCCCCCATAGTTATATACCCCTAACTAGTCCATTGCCACACTTCACTGTATTCAGTTTTTTTTCCCCCTCATTGTCTCTATCTGCTATGTTTCTCAACTGAAACTGTGGTTTAAGTCTGTCCATACGTTGTGAAATTAAAGAGTTTTCATCACTTCTCGTGGCTGTTAGTTTGGTATGCAGGTTCTGAGGTTTTGTTTGATAAAAAAATACAGGAAACCAGAAGTTGTCTTCAAGAGTTACATGTTTATTCGGCTGAGTAAAGACGGGCTTCTCTAAAGAGAGAGAAAAGCTCCAAATATTGAAAAAGCCTTATTTTTATACCTACTTTGATTACATAAGCAATTCACCCAGCAAAGTTGACACACATAAGATAGAGATTTCACCCTTTAAGGCTGGCACACTGTAGATAAGAAGGAAGAAAGCAGAAGTAGCTAATAATCTCCCCTTTGGGATGTTTCTCCAAGGCACCATATGTTCCCGGATGGGTTAGAATATTGGGTGTTTCCTTTGCTGTCCTTTCATAACCTTGCAATCGTGGGTCTGCAAGTGGCCAGATAGAGCGGGGCCATCTGCACATATTCACGTGCAGTCCAAGTCCTAAATCCAAGTCAACAAGTTGGTGTTCAAGGATGCGTTCTGCCAGTTCGTCGGTCTGTCTGCCCTACGTAGTGGCTGTTGCAGTCCTTACAATGTATGTTATAATTGACTCCTGTTTTTTTCTTCTGGGGCTGCTGGGTCTTTTGGTTTACTGGCTGTTGATGGGCAATCTTCTAGAACTGCTTTATCATCGCCTTTCTCTGGGATGTTCTGATGGGAAATGGGCCAGCTAATTCCCATTCACTGGCAATAAGGAAATAGCTGGAGAGTTGTTCTACTAATTGCGTGAGAACAGGAAGCGCCTTAGAGCAGGAAGCGTTTTGTCCTATTATCATCATCATCATATCAACTTTCCTGTGGAACAATCAACAGTCAATTTAGGAAAGGCTTCCTTACTCCCTATTTAGGCTTCCTTACTCCCTATTTCTAACTTGCTACTTTTCCCCGGAATTTTGGCAGATTCCAAATGGAACAAAGGCAATTTGATTTTGCTTTCTGTCGAACCTGTGCTCCTTCGGTCTTATTCCTACCTCTCCCTGCCAGAACTTAGTAGCTTGCACCTCCTATACCTCAGAATGGCTCCTACTAAACTTTGCCTCTTCTAAGTTTAATACCTTAATACAAGCCTGGTTGTGTCTCACCAATCATCTCCACTGGCCAGCCTAGCTAAAGCTGCTGAGGGTCCTGGTTCAGTACAACGGCAGTGAAAAAAAAGCGACTTATGATATGACCGTTTTTCACACTTACAACCCTTGCAGCATGCCTCATGGTCAGGGGGTCAAAATTCAGACGCTTGGCGGCTGACTCATATTTATGACGGTGGCCACGTCCCAGGGGTCACGTGATCCCCTTTTGCGACCTTCTGACAAGCAAAGTCAATGGGGAAGCCAGATTCAGCGAACGACCGTGTTACTAACTTAACAACTGCAGTGACTCACTTATCCCGGCCCTACTTTCTTAGCTCCTCCCCACTTTTTCCTCCCTCTCCAGGTAGTTCCTTGATGTGTGAATATTGTACCTCACAATCTTCAGATTGTTCTGGTTCGAAGCAAGAATGTTCTCTTAAGAATGCTGTCTGCATGACTTTGACGACTGAAGTTAGCGCAGGTGAGTAAGACAAGTCCTATTTTTCCCAGCAAGGGAATAAATAACATGGGTCTTGCAAGCTACATAAATCGGATGGATCCTCTGCCATCAGGTTGGAGATGCATTTTCAGGTCTTCCTACCGTGCCCACCACCACCACTGTATAATGAAGTCTGTCCACCTTCCTGCTGGACATCCTCTTTTTCTCTTTTTTTCTACTTTTCCCTGCATTGTGGCTTTCTCCAAAGAACTGGGTCTTCACATAATTGTCCATGACCATTTGAGCCTGGCCATGAACAAAGTACAGGAAGTCCTCAATATACAATAGTTTGTTTAGTGCCAGTTCAAAGTTACAATGGCTCTGAAAAAAAAGCGACTTAAGACTGTTTCCCCCGCTTACGACTCTTGTAGTATCGCCTTGGTCACATAATCAAATTTCAGATGTTTGGCAACTGACTCAAATCAACGATGGTTCGAAGTGTCCCAGGGTCATGTGTGATCCCCTTTTGTAAACTTCTGAAAGTCAATGGGGAAGCCAGATTCACTTACTAACTTAACAGCTGCAGTGATTCACATAACAACTGTGGCGAGAAAGGTTGTAAAACGGGGCAAATTCACTTAACAAATGTCTCAGAATTTTGGGGGCTCAGTTGTGGTTGTAAGTCAAGGACTACCTGTAACAGATTCCTGTCCCTGCAGAATCATAGCCCATTCACGAAACAATAGTTAACTAACTAGACCAGTGGTGGCAAACCTTTTAGAGACTGAGTGCCCCAGAACTGGCCCTGCCCCCACTGCCCAGCCGCCATGGCCTTGGCTGCACTACTCTGTGTGGGCCACGCTTGGGGGCGAATCTCCTCCAAGGGGGCTGCTAGTGAGGAGGGGGCCATGGGGGGAGGCGGGCTGGGGCAATGGCAATGTGCCCACAGAGAGGGCTCTGAGTGCCGCCTCTGGCACGCATGCCATAGGTTCGCCACCGCTGAACTAGACCCAACTTCAGCTTATTGAATCAAAATCACCTTAACATGTCTGATGGAGGTACGTATCTCAGGGTTGGCATTTTGTTGCCATTGTTCTACAAAGTTTTGTTTTTGCTTTTTTTTTGGGAAGGGGAAGTATTGGAATAAAATGTCTACAACCTGAAAACTGGCTCCAGAGAACTCCTAAAGCAAATCATTTTTATTGTCTGATCTGATCTGCATGGAGGGTCCATTCTTATTACACACAAACAAGGAGAGTCTCCTGTGTCACCCAATAGAACCCCATCGCTTTTTTAATTCGTTGAGCGATGATGTTGCAAATTGACCCATGAGAACTATAACGACTTCTGCTTTTGGCAAGGACAGATTTCCGCCCAAAAGCCTTTTCCCATACCGTTCAGACAACAGTCCACAATATCAACGATGGCAAAAACAATTGCAAAATGGGGCAAAAATTCATGTAACTCAGCAACAGAAACTTTGGGTTCAATTCAGTGGTGGGATTCAAATACCAGAACAACCGGTTCTCTGCATGGATGCAGGCCTGGGCATCCAAGCCTAGAACTGGCTTCCGGAAGTGACATCCATGCACTTCCGGTGGGCCATTCTAGGCCTGGGAGACCTCCTCCAGGCCTCCCAGGCCTAGAACGGGCTTTCAGAAGTGGCATCCATGCACTTCCGATGGACCATTCTAGGCCTGAGAGGCCTCCTCCAGGCCTCCGACGCCTAAAATGGACAGCCGGAAGCGGTGTGCATTCAGCCAGTTCTCAGAACTCAACAAAATTTAGCTACCGGTGCGAACCAGCTGAATCCCACCACTGGCTCAATTGTGGTTCTAAGACAAGGACTATCTGTATTGGAAACCTGTATTTGGATGGATGGAGGATTTCCTTTAAATCTGAGTGATGGCTCTGATCACTGACATTTCTCTGTTTCTCCAGGACCCCAGAAAATCCAAGCGACTGTCAAAGGTTGCACTCCAGAAGACACTTGCAAGGGTTTTGAAAATCTGAAAGGGAAGTCTGTCACAAGCCAACACCCCGATGGTCCAGCTGTACCAGTTGGAGCTGTCATTAAACAAGCTGTCTGCAGCAAAGCCTCTCCCTCCTTTGCATCGTTCTTCCCAGCATTCCTTGGGCTCCTCCTGATGAAGCTTCTCTTCTAAAGCTCTTCCTTCCACTCAAGAAGTTGTCCCCTTTTCTTGGCCTGTACATCTCCTCAAGCTGATCAGGCGGGCTCTTTGATGTTATGCATAGGTCTCCATATTTGCCTAAATAGAGACCAGTTCAGCAGACAAATATATAATCAGCCAAGTGGAACCCAGTTAAGCAGACAAATATATAATCAGCAGCCTTGAATGTGTGTTTGAAGAAAAAAAAATGGTGTAATTCAAATAATGAAAACAATAAAAAATAAATAATTGGATTACAGTCATTGCCTGGGTGTTTTTTTTAAAAAAAATTTGGAGTAGAAAGAAAAAAAATGCACATTCTCCATTCTACAGGGCTAGTTTGCCACCCCCGTCATCCAGATTTGATGTGAGTTATATGTATTTGTATATCACAAGTAGAAATGGCCCATCTCACATATATTTGATTTTTCAACTATTATATATTATTTTATTGATCAACTGTTTATTTTATTCTGTTTGTGCGATCTGAATCCCCAAGGCATGCGTTACTTCTCTTCTTTCCTGTGGAGTCTACACAGCCCTGGAGTTTCTCCAGTGGGTCTCTGATACAAGAACGTTTCCTGAACCCATTTAGTTAAGCTGACACCTGCTAGCTGACTTCAACCAACTCGTCCGGCCGTTCATGTGAGGTGCACAAAGCATCAAGACTGGAAGGCCAGGGAACTTGTATGGGGTCAATGGCAGTTATCATGGTTGGATTGTCCATGAAACTGAGGCGTGAAAGCTGACTGGGTGACTTTGGCCAATCACCAAAGAGGCAGTGGATTCTAGTCCCACCTTAGGCAAAAGAGTCAGTTGGATTATTTTGGGGCAGTTGCTCTCTCTCTGTCCAACTGACCTCACAGGTCACCGGGGGAAATAGGAGGAAAAAGGAATAGTAAGTATGCTCCCTGCCTTGAGTTATTTATAGAAGTAGCAAAGGTGAGAGGTAAACCATAAAAAAGAACACAAATAAATAAATAAATATTGTCTTGAGAGGTGACCTCATTGCCCATCTGGAAGGTGAATTGCCTTCTCCAGGTAGGTCCTCCACAGTCCATGAAGAAGGTGATACTGCAGTCATAATCAGAGACAACTTTGATTTTTTACAAGTAATAAAGCAGCAGTTTTACCAGTGTTTCATGTCCCTTTTATTGGTCTATGGATGCCTTGCATGTTGTTTTGCAGAACCTCCCAGCCACACCATTGCGTTCCTTCAAGAAAAGATGAGGTTTTTTTTAAAACCTCTGTGTCTCACGACCTTCATGAAGCTTCTTCAGGAGCTCTTCTTCTTCTCCGTCCTCCTAACTCCAGGTATGGTCAGGATTGTCCTCCTGGGGGTCAGTGAAGCTAATAAGGAGTGTCCTCCACACTGACCACTTGTAGAGGGTTGCTTAAGGCTGTGAAAAACCTTGGGAAATGCTGTCCCCAAAGATGGAGTGGCTGGCTGGAAAAAGAAGTGGGTGTAGAGTTGGAATAGATTCAGGTTTATCAAAAGTACTTACATCTAGGGAGAATTTACCGCATTGATGGTCCTTTCTTATGACCAGGTTAGCCTTGGAATAACCATGAAGCAAAATAAGCCTGTGCCTAGGGTCATAAGGAAAAGATGGCACCACAGATCTTCCTCCTAGTTGCATGCCCTTAATTATTTCACTGCCAAACTTCATTTAAGTCAGGTTCCCCCCCATTGTCTTTATTCGCTATGTTCAATTTTAATCTGCATTGTTAAAAAAAAAATCACTTCCATTGAAGGCTACCTCTGTTGAAAATCTCTTCTGCATTACTTGCCACCTCTCGAAATTCCTCTTCAAACTGATGGGAGAAAACTCCAGATTTTTTATTTCATTTATGAAATTTAGGTACCACCCATCTCACTCTCAGAGTGACTCTGACTGGTTTACAACTATATAATTTTTTATTAAAGAAACAAACCACAGTTAATGTAGGAAAGCAGCAGGCTTCCTTCCTTCCTATTTCTAACTGGCTACGTTCCCCGGGAATTTTGGCAGTTCGCATATGGAACAAAGGCAATTTGTTTTTGCTTCGTGTCTAACCTGTGCTCCTTCTCTCTTATTCCTTCCTCTTCCTGTCAAAAATAAGGATTGTGTACCTCCTCTACCTCATCATGGCTTCTGCTAAACTTTGTCTCTGGAATATATTTTATCTTCATATGGCTCTGATTAAGACTCACCATGTCTCCACTGGCCAGTCTAGTTAAGGCTGCTGAGCGTCCGGGTTCCATAATATTAAAAGCATCTCTGGTTCCCCATCCCTATCCTATATCCTTAGCTCCTCCCACTTTCTCTCCCTTGTCCAGGTAACTCCTTGACATGTGAGCATTGTGTATCACCTTCGTTAGAAACATGCTCTGGTTCACTGAAAAAATGTCCTTATAAGAATGCTGTCTGCATGACTTTGACGACTGAAACTACAATAAGTGAGTAAGACATGCCACGTAAATCTCATTGATCCTCTGCCATCAGGCTGCTGGTGATCCTTCAGGTTTTCCAACTATTCTGACTCAAATCTAAAGTGCCTTCTTTTAAATCCAGTCAGATAGTTAACTCAAAAAAAAAAAAAAAAAGATCTTATAATAAACAACAATATATTTATTAGAAAAATTACTTGCATTCACGCTGTGGTTGATACTTCTGGAAAATACATCTTTGTCCATTTCTTAGACCGTCTCTTTAGGTAAGAGAATATTGCTCTTCATACCACTTTCATAACGACTCAGGCTCATTGTGTGACCTTCCACGGCCCATGCTTCTTATAGACAAAGAGATTCTCATGTCGCTTGTGTCCAGGAAGTCTCCCAATGTCCTTTGAGACTCTTCCCACTGACCCATCAACATACATAGCATTTAACCCAATAACTGCCAGACACTCCACCACACTGATACCTGCTCTCTAGTTAGGACAGTGGTTCTCAGCCTGTGGGTCGGGACCCCATTTGGGGTCGAACGACCATTTCACGGGGGTCGCCAAACAACGCAGTCCGCCATTTTTTCCCCCTTTTCCTTAGCTGTGCTACTCCCTTTTATTCTATTGGCTTTTGAAAGCCAATAGAATAGACTCTCTTGAATAGAGTCTAATTCTATTGGCTTTCAAAAGCCAATAGGAATTGTCCAGGCTGTCTCTGCCCTGCTGAGCCCACCAAAAGTCCCAGTCTGCAAATGGTGGTGCACCAGTTGAGTAGTCCTCGACTTACAACTGGCTGAGTAGTCCTCGACTTACGACCGGTTGGGGGTCACGGCATTAAAAAGGTTGAGAACCACTGAATTAGGATTACATAGAGCTATATGGTCCATAGAGCTATATGGTCCATAGAGCTATATGGTTCAGAATACCAACCATGCCCCACCACCACTAAAATGAAGCCCATCCCCTTATTGCTAGTCATCCTCTTCTTCTCTTTTCTTCTTCTTTTCCCATCATTATATCCTTCTCCAGAGAACTTGTGTTCACATAATGAATTTGAAGTAGGGTATTTTGAGCCTGTTCGTGTTGATCAGGGGTCCCCAACCCCATGAGCTGTGGCCCACTTCCAGGCCTTGACCTTTCAGAACCGGCCCCTGGAGGTGGTAGGTGAGCACGTGCGCACATCTCCACTTATGTGTGCAGCTGGCAAGTGATGTGCTGCTCACTACACTTGCCCACTGCTTGCATGGAACCACTGCGAGCATGTGCACACATCCCCACTTATGTCAGAAGTGGGTGAGCATGTACACTCTGAGCAAGCGGTGGGTGCGCATGCCCTCCACTCATGCACAGAGAGCTGTGCATGCACACTTGCCTGCCATTCACGCAGAACCATCCCTTCTCCTCTCCCCCCCCCCCTTGCTGGTCTGCAAAGCTGAAAAGTTTGGCAAACTCTTTTGTAGAAAGTATTGGAAACCTGTATTTGGGTGGGTGGAGGAATTCCTTTAGCTCTGAGTGATGGCTCTGATCACTGACATTTCTCTCTTCCTCCAGTAATGAAAATCTTAAGCATCCTGAAAACTTGTAGTCGGGAAGATGAGTGCAAGCAACTACAGGGACAGAAAGGAAACATTTTACCCGGCCCGTTACCCAATATATCAGATATTATTCCTAATATTCAATTTGGGGCTGTCATTAAAGATGTTGTCTGCAGCAAAGCCCCTCCCTCCTTTGCATGTTTCTTCCCAGCATTCCTTGGGCTCATCTTGACAAAGCTTTTCTTCTAAAGCTTTTCCTTCCACTCAAGAAGTTGTCCCCTTTTCTGGGCCTCTTCTCAAGCTAATCAGGTGGGCTCTTTGATGTTATGCATAGGTCTCCGTACTTGCAAAAACGGAAGCCATTTCAGCAGACAAATATTTAATCAGCCAAATGGAACCCAGTTAAGCAGACAAATATATAATCAGCAGCCTTGAATGTGTGTTTGAAGAAAAAAAAAATGGTGTAATTCAAATAAAGAAAACAATAAATAATTGAATTACAGTCATTGCCTGGGTTTTTTTTTTTTTTAATTTATAGTAGGAAAACAAAATCCACATTCTCTTTTCTACAGGGCTAGTTTGCCAGCCTCTTCATCCAGATTTGATGTGACTTATATTTATATGGATGTCAAAAGTAGAAATGGCCCATCTCACAGAGTTTTGACTTTTCAACTATTATATATTATTTTATTGATCAACTGTTTATTTTATTCTGTTTGTGCGATCTGAATCCCCAAGGCATGCGTTACTTCTTTCCTGTGGAGTCTACACAGCCCTTATGTTTCTCCAGTGGGTCTCTGATACAAGAACGTTTCCTGAAGCCATTTAGTTAAGCTGACACCTGCTAGCTGACTTCAACCAACTCGTCCGGCCGTTCATGTGAGATGAACAAAGCTTCAAGACTGGAAGGCCAGGGAACTTGTATGGGGTCACTGGCGGTTATCCTGGTTGGATTGTCTATGAAACTGAGACATGAAAGCTGACTGAGTGACTTTGGCCCATCACCAAAGAAGCAGTGAATTCTAGTCCCACCTTAGGCAAAAGAGTCAGTTGGATTATGTTGGGGCAGTTGCTCTCTCTCTGTCCAACTGATCACACAGGTCACAGGGGGAAATAGGAGGAAAAAGGAATAGTAAGTATGCTCCCTGCCTTGAGTTATTTATAGAAGTAGCAAAGATGAGAGGTAAACCATAAAAAAGAACACAAATAAATAAATAAATATTGTCTTGAGAGGTGACCTCATTGCCCCTCTGGAAGGTGAATTGCCTTCTCCAGGTAGGTCCTCCACA